CAGTCAGGTCGGCAGTCTTACCCATGATTGTGGTTTTGAGTAATGAACAAGGCTGGGAGTTTTTAAAAGCCTCAGGAATCTTTTGCAGGTGTTTAGAGTTACGTCGTTGATTCAGATGGTTAGGTTAATAGCTTGTTTAGAGAACCTTTTCATGATATGCTCATTTTTTGGGACAGGCATTTTGGGTTTTCATGAGCTGTATGCCATAATCATCAGTATTAAAACAATTAAAGACCTGAAATATTTCAGTTGGTGTGCAATGAATCTGAAATATATGAAAGTTTCATTTTTATCATTACATTATGGAAAATAATGACCTTTATCACAATATGCTAATTTTTTGAGAAGGACCTGTATATAGTCAAAAATATTGACAAATTCCAGAATCATCCTGAAATGTTTGTTTGTGAATCAAATACATGAAATTTTTAACTGCAAATTGGCCAATAATTTAAAGGGAACCCTTGAAAAATGTTTTTGCTGATGTAAAATTCACATGGACCCAAGCCTGAGAGCTGTCAGCTGAAATAATTTAAAGTGTTTTTAAAACCATCTAAGAGCATATCAACAGAGCGTGACAAAAAATGTTGGTTGCTTCCAGTCAGCTGTGTCTAAACTTTGAGACAAGACAAACAAAAGCTAAGGAACCCGTCAAAGTGTCAGGACAGAAATCTAAAATTCAATGCTTTTAAAACAGAAAATGCAAAACAGCAACTAAATCGATTTGCCACTTTGTCAATAAATGCATACTTGTTGACGTCTTGAACCTTTCGTAGTGATAAAGTAAAACAAAACATGACCAAGGTTTTTAAATTCAGGAAAATTAATAAAAAATAAATAAAAAGTCTATACAAAGCTTCACACTTTTTTTTTGTAAGTGAAAGTTAAACTTTTATAAACTCAATTTTCTTGACTTTCCCATTGATTTTTGAGCTACTTTTGACTCTGAGAGCAAACATTTACCAAAATGCCTTTATAAAATGGTTTTAAAACCCAAGGTTAATATGTCTGATACATTGTAGCTATTTCTGTCAGAAATTTTCCAAACATTTGTCAGACCATTGTAGTTACTTCAGCTGATGTCACCGTAATACAGTGAGCAATAAAATAATAAAGAAACTGGTGCCTTCATTCTAATGGTACCTCTGCTCAACTTAATAAAAATAAAAATATATACATATATATATATTTATTGCATTTCCTGTTTCATTAACTGTATTTAATAAATAATAATAGTAAAAAACAAACAATATAGGAGAAGAAAAATCAGCAGCTCCAAACCTGAGGTCATGGTCCTCAGTCAGAAAAGGCTGCAGGCTTAACTAAACTTGGAAAATGACAAAAATAAATTCCATAACTTTTACAGTACAGTTGAAACTGCACTCATGGAGGATATTGGTTTTATTAGAGAACACCTAGTTCAGTGGCGTCGTCCACAATCAGAGCAGCATTGTAACCACATCTTCTCTGATAAGCCTGTCCTCTGTATTCTCTCTCCCTCGCAGTGATTAGTTAGTTGATAAACTCATTTTATGCTAATCTGTTCTTATTCCAAAGAAACAGAAAAAAAAAATCTGAAACCACGTATCACTGGACAACTTTTGAGTGAATAAGATTTTGGAGATTAGACTTTCTGGACACAAAAGTGTTTCTAATAGTTGTTTTATTGTTTACTGAACTTTCCACCCCCTAAACAACACAACAACAACAGCAGAATACCACATATGGCACATTCTATGCCATCAACCATTATACAGCCATGCAATCTACAGTAATAACCAGTTTATAACATTTGACCTGGATTTGTGAAACTGGGGTGATGAAAAGTATAGAAGCCCAGACAAGATCAAATTTATGTGTGGACCATGATAAAATGTCTGTCTTTCAAATGAGACTACATTTCCAGACATTAACAATTACTGCGTGTCTCGTGGATTACACGCTGTTAGCCTCCTTCACATGACATTAACCCGGCGAACTCTCAGAATGTGGTTGGTCTCAGCAAATCTGGAGAACTTTCTTCGCTGTGAGGGCAGTGATGATGATGCTACACTCTCTGACTTACACAGCTAGTCTTCGTTAACGTCCACATCACCAAGACACTCTCCTGTGCTCTGACCATACTTTTAAAGCACAACATTCCTACACTGATACCAACATGTACACCCACTGTCCCACCGTGCCCTGCAAGACTCACTCAGACCACATCAGGGTGCAGCGATGCACTCTGATCACACCGTGCTAGAAACACTTGGCTACCACAGATGGGTGCGATGGTGTTCGTAGCCCAGGCACGAGGACTTTGACAGTCCGGCTTCAAAAATGTGATTGCCCAGAATTGGGGCTTTAAGAGACTACTCGAGTAATCGACATATCGATTCCTAGGACATCTATTGAGTTTTCAAATTTCACGTCGAGTATTCGTGGTTATGTCATTACGTCGCCGTTACGTCATTGTGTCACGAGTCACGTGATCTGCACCGGGCGCGGGTTACAAAATGGATTCCTCCCAGCAGATGGACTGAGCGGAGCAGGCCCAGTCTTGTCAAACAGGTAGAAATGCATCAGTAGTCTGGAAATATTTCACTAAAGATGAATCTTCCGGTTCAACTACCGTAAGGAAACAGAAAATGAAACAACTTCCTGACTGTTAGGAGCTTGTTGTGAACCGGTGTTACACCATATTCTGTGACCACCGTATATTGTGACTGTAGGGGGCGGTGTTGCATGCACTGTTGCTGGTCACATAATATGGTGTAACACCGGGTCCAATCGACCGAACCAGAACCAGCTTCCTCTGACCTTGTTTCACAAACTAAAAGCAAAAAATATGAATCTCTAAACCTATAAAAAAACTATAAACATATTAATCTCTAAAACTAAACCTAATGTGCACCACTGCGGGCGGTGGTGCAGGGTGGTCGACCCCCCACTGTTTTTAGTTTCGTTGTTGACGTGCCGCACGTTTCTTTCACTTTTGCAGCTTAATAATAATAATAATAACTAATAGTTTTGTTTTTCCTGTGACTTATTTGCAGTATGATAAATGGTAGGAGCGTAATATATGCTCCCAATGTTTTGTTGATCTTTTTTGTAAATAATGAATCTTTTTTGTGGTTTTATTTATTTATTTTTGCATCTTTAGATCCTATGACGTCATCAAGTACTCAAGTTCTACTCGAGTCTTATGTTAACGTCGAGTTTAAAAATTATGTAGTCGTTCAAGCCCTACCCAGAATCCTGATACACCACCAACACCACTACTTTATGGACTTTGGGCCCTAACCCACAAAGACCATCCACATTCTGGCTGATATTTATTATTTAATTGTAGGGAGGACAGTGTGAAGGGCGTTTTTTGGGAAGAAGACAACAGTGCAACAACCACGACTTCTTCTCTCATTGAGATCCAATAATCAAGCCATTTATTTAAACAATTTATTTCCTAAGTATGTTTAATAAAGGGGCAGCACGGTGGTGCAACTGGTAGAGCTGCTGCCTCTCAGCGAGCAGGTCCCCGGTTCAAACCCCGGTCCAGAGGCCTTTCTGGGTGGAGTTTGCATGTTCTCTCCGTGCATGCGTGGGTTTTCTCCGGGTGCTCCGGTTTCCTCCCACAGACCAAAAACATGCATGTTAGACTGATTGGTAACTTTAAATTGTCCCTAGGTGTGAGAGAGAGAGTGAATGGTTGTTTGTCTCGTTTGTCTCTATGTGTCCCTGTGATGGACTGGAGACATGTCCAGGGTGTACCCCGCCCCTCGCACAGTGATTGCTGGACATGGGCACCAGCGACCCCCGTGACCCAAAATGGAATAAACGGGTAAAAGATGATGGATGGATGGATAATAAAGCAAGAATGTTCACCTTATTTAAGATATTGTGTGTTATTGTTCAAAATGCTATATTAAGCAAGTAAAAGGAAATCTTTAAAGGTTGGTGACTGCACATTATTTATACCTGTACCTGCTCTTTATAACCTGCAGTTATAAAGAGCTTCAGTAGTATCATTTTTTGGTAAGAAAAACATGACATCTGATTTTCATTACGATTGTCTGTTTACATTGTGTCTTGAATAATGGTCAATGGACTGTACTTGTACAACGCCTTTATATTTATCAAGACACTCAAAGCTGTTTACACAACAATCTGTTCCCTCATTTATCCATTCATACAGCTCTCTACTAGATTTATACAAAGACTAATCAGTGCTTTAGATCACATTCATTCACTGAAGGGACACGCATCGGAGGCGATGAGGAGTTCAGTGTCTTGCTCAGGGATACTTTGGCATGTAACTGATGGTGGATTCGAACCCCCAACTCTTGCATTGGAGGACGACTGCTCTAACCACTCAGCCACAGCCGCCCAGTAATGGTAACTTAATCTTTTTTTTTTAATTAGACTTTAGTTTCATAAAAGTAAAAAAGGAACAATTCATTTTTTTTTTTACTTTTGTGCACCAAATCTAGGTTCTAGGACAAAAGTACTTAAGGTTCTCTTCCACAATGACCTCAAAATTAAGAACAATGGAATTAAAGTCCAACTTTTTGATGAAGGAAACCAAAATTCTGCATCAGAGCAGCCATTCACAACCTTCCTTGAGTGCTGATCAAGTTGTTATACATGTTTTTTGTGTGCATTTGTTCCCCTTCCGTCAATGCAAACACATGTGAAAGTCCTGTTTCGTGAACTTGCTGACATGCAACACTGAGGCTACATTGTTGTGTTTCCATCAGAACTGCTGACTTTATGTGTAATAAATCAAACTGCTTTAGAAAACCTTTGAGCAGTAAACTTCAAGATACCATTAGGGATCAAACACATTCCTCTAAACACACTTTTTGAGGTTTTTGTACTTTAGTAAGAAATCCACTGAAGAACATGGTACTCTTTTGTTTTTCTACTGCAGTGAAATGTATTGGAGAACATTCTTGTACATCCTTGCCTGCAGATATTTCATTGTCTGAATTAAGAAAAGTACAAAATGAAGTTTTTTTTACCTTTCCCACGTACTGAATGTCCGTCCCAGTGTACTCCTCCAACAGAAAGAATTGGTTCCACATCCAGCCTCGTTTAGAGCGTCTAAGCGGCACTCCGTTGGCATCCTGTCCCATCAATCCTGTTGAGCCTCTTCGTCCCCCTGTAGTCCTTCGAAGGGCCCTGAGGCCGTAGCCCGGAGAGCTGAGGTGGGCCACAGCCCACAGCACCATCAGCACACAAACTGTCCTTCGACTCATGGCCACACAACCACAAAACCTTCTGCCTAACGTCACCCCCAGAGGTCTGTGTCCGGTGGTCAGAGTATTGAATCGGGTCTCATGCTGTAAGCAGGAAAGGCTCCTCGGACTCACATTGAGCAGCAATCAGCTCCTGAAACACACACACACACACACACACACACACACACACACACACACACACACACACACACACACACACACACACACACACACA